GTGAGAATTTTTGCATGAGATGTAAAGTCTTGTCTGTACCAATAAGTCAACTAAACCCAAGAACTTTTCTAAAACTTACTAGCATCTTCAGGGGACCGTATTTAATTTCTTGAGCTGCAAGCGCATGTTTGAATGGCGTAGGCGTTCTTGGAGCGCTTTCTAGGATTGACCTTTTGATCGCTGGGGTTCTGAAACTTTCAAAATAAAACAAGCAGTGGCTCAATACAAGAAAAGAGATGTTTCCTACATTGTGCTACCTGTTAAATTTAGTTTTTTCCACTGAATACAATAAACTGGTATTGAAATGGAATTAGATACATTTACTAACCACAGTATTTGTTAATAAAAATTATGTACATATTTTCAAATATTATACCTCTAAGATGAAAAGCATTAAAATATTTTTTATCTTTCCATAATGGATCTGAAGATACACATTGTATCCTCAGTCTGTATAATGCCCATAAACATTGAGAAGATCTAATGTCATTTACAAATGAATTTGATCCATTCATTAGAGCAGAGTCAACACTAGAATACATATTACTTTTTAAATTCTTTCTTCCTTTCCTTGTATTGCCAGAAGGTGTATGTGCTCACCAGAGATAAGGGGAGAGGGAGAGAGAAAGAGAGAAAGCAACCCCTCTCCCCAAGAGGATATAGTCATTCCACAGTTTCTCCATCCCATCAGAATTTAGGGCATGCATGCCTACATGCCTGGCATATTTTTCAAGCTACTGGAGCTGGAATTTGACTCATGGTTGGCCACGTGGGATCTAGCTCTTTTAACACTATGCTACTGGGCTGGCCCCAAAAGTGATCATTTTGTTCTTGGAAATAAAATAGGAGTGCATTTATTGTAAGTCACAATAATTTTCTCTGTCATTTATTTGAATTGGTTAAGTCTTTATAAAAAAAAATGATTGCTTAATCATCCCTTGGCTTCCAATCATATAATATTCCTGGAGATGTCAGAAGTCCTATCTCCGCTTCAGAGAAAAAATAAGGTTAAAAATATGAACTAAATTAAGAACCATTCTTATTCTGAAGCTTATAATCACAGAGGAAATGAGACAGAAAGTTTTGTTTTTGAGGAGAAGAAAAGGCCCCATTGAACAAACAGACAAACTGAATGGAAAAGTTCTATAAAAACCACCTCTGTATGTAGAGAGAAAATGTTGGAGGAAACTAAAAAGGGTAGTTTATATTTCCACCTTCTACTTTTTTTAAAAAAAGAATTATTTAATTTTATTTATTCATTTATTTATTTTAATTTGACCAGAGAGATTCACAGAGAGAGAGAAGGAAAGTGAGAAAGCAAGCCACCAGGTCCAGAACTCAAACCATGGTGGGCCATGTGGGAGTGTCCAGCGATTTAACCACCATGCCACCTGCTGGTCCCACATCTACCTTCTACTTCTATTGGGTCATCAAAAAAGTCACGACACATTTTTGTATAGAAAAACATAGAAAAACATGTCATGACTTTTCTGACGACACAATAGGTAGTTGTTACATGCCCAGGAAAGAGTTATTCAATGTGGAAATATACATGATTACATACAAGTGGATCACTAAATGGTACACATACAAATAGATTAGATATTGAGCACTAGAACCCATCAATTAAATATAAATAACACATTTTTATTTTCAAATCAAGGACTTACATAGTATTCTCCTTTTGAGTTTTCACAGTCTGATCTCTGTGGAATGGTGTTGTAACAGTCAATTTGTGACCACTGAGAGGGGTGGAAGTTGAAGAAGGCATTTCCAACTCTAAGTTTTCATGGTTACTCGAAGTGTTTAAGAACTAAACATGAGGAGAAAGAACAAAAGTTACTTAGATCAAACAATGATTCTTTATTCAGACCAATTTAAAAATCACACACTGATAACAAGCAAATATGTTTTACTGACCCACAATAGCAAATAATAAAGATGTTAACAAGTATGTAGTATTAGATGGGGCATTGTTTCATTTTGATTGGGCACCCAATATTTGGTGTGTGATTTCCAAAAATAAAAATCTAGGTTCAAGGCTGAAAACTTTGCAATATCTTAAGAAATTGTCTCAATAAATAACACTCATCATTAGAGAGAATGAGATGTGCTCTTTTTAACATTAAAAAGGTTTGAGAGTTTTTTTAATTGTATTTTTTCTTTCTTGTCCAATTTTCTCTCTAATGATCTATGAATCAAAATCATTATTACAGAAGGTTTACATTATGTGGAAAATTCTTGGATAACAAACTGTCTCTCAAACATTAAAGTTCTGGGGAAAAAATAGGCGCTTCAAAGTAAAATAAGTTTGAGAAACGCAAAAATCTGAGAGCCTCCTCTTAAAAATTCACAATGCAGATTTGTATATTAATAACTCTGAGAGGTCTGTAGTAAAGAAATCAATTATGATGTTTGGTTGAGTAGTGCTTCCAAACACATATATTTATATATTTAGATTTTTCTCTTAGAAAGTCTATGAAAGCCATGTAGAACTATTAAAAATATTCCATGGAATATAGTTTAGAAAACACACAGGCCATGGAAATGAGATTTTTTTTTTGTTTCGATGGGAGCATTATTTATTCATAAAGTTGTTCTTAAAGTTAACAGCCATAATTGAAAAAAATGTTCAATAGGGCCAAATAATTTATCAATTTCAGTTATTTTAATAATGTAGAATCATGTCTCCAGTAAGAATGATAATATCCATGCTTTAAGAAAGCTGTATAAATAAGGATATTCATTGGCAAAAACTGCACTAGTGAAATAGTACAGGCCAATTCAAGAGCACCAATGTTGAGAATCTAAAATTTAAAAAAAATATATTTTCCTTAAGTATCTACTTCTCATCCTCTTCTTAAACAGGCCCACTTAAAGATGGCTTGGAATGCTTAAATTTTCTAGTGGCAACCCAAATACTGTATAAATGTAATTTGGTTCCCTCCTTCCCTGGGTCAGTGAATCACATAATATTAAATAAATAAAGAGGCAGAAAACACTTTAAAAGTTTAAATAGGAGGGCTCAGAGGGGAAAAGAAGAAGAGACAAATGTTAAACTTTAGTGTTGAAGGAAATAAAAGCAGATCTCATGCAACTATCTTCTAAACCACCAAAAGAAAAGTAGAAGAGAATTATAACAAAATCATCAGTTGGCCTGCAGGCAGCCTAAATTTTGAGAGGCAATATGACTTAGCAACAGTTAGATTCAATGATGGAATGAAATCAACCAGGGCAACAGTTATTAGTCATTTGTTCCAAAGGATTAGTTTCTAGATTATTAAGGCTCAGGGTCTGTTGAAAATTAGTAACAGCTGTGCAGAAATTGTGCTCTACCTGCGAGGGAGAGAAGGGTAGGCTTTTGACAGGGGAACGCTTGGGAGTTGAACCGCTGACGTCAGCAAATATGGAGGAGCTAGAGTCTCCAGTGGCTATGGGGCTGAACTGGTTCCACTTTTTTCGAAGGATGACCAGTGGAATTGTGTTGTGCCTTGCAGGAGGGAAGGCCTTAGGTGGGTCAACTGAACTCTCACTCAACAAGCGTTTGTTCACCCTTAGGCTAGGCTCTCCTGCAGGTCTATTCCCGTTACCCTCTCTTTGCTGAGGCTGTAGGACTTTGCCTGTGTGATGTTGGCTAGGTGAAAAATCTGCTTCTTCAAAGAAGTCAAAACTGCTGAGATCACACCATGATGAAGAATCCTGAAACAATGTGGGAGGCACAGAACTTTAAGACAGTGTGTGTGGTGTGTGCATCCTTGCCTGCAATACAGCACTGAGAAAGATGCTAAACGAAAAAAAAAAAAAAAAAAAAAAAAAAAATTCAAAACAACAAACACCTGCCAGTTTGTTTGATTTCTTGAAAAACAACTTCAGGATTCAGAGTTGTTCTATTCCACTGTATTAGAGTGGGCTACCATGCTACTTCAAGGCTGGTCCTACACAAGAGCTGTAGGACCTCCCAACCCACTATCATTTGCATGCGATCTAAAGCAAAAACAAAGTAAAAGAAAAAAAAAATCTTTTGTAGATAGCACAACATGGTAAATTGTATCCCCTGTCCAATGGGTTTGCAACAAATGCTTTTTAAGCAATTGGAAAACCAAGGAAATGAACCAAATGTCTACTTAGGAGGTGCTGAACTCAAATCTGCTTCACCAAAGATGACTGATCTCAGTGAAACGCTAGGACTGGTTAACAATAACTAGTATTTTGTGGAGGAAGCCATGTACCATCAATGGACTAATGATCTCTTCAAATATATTAAATGATCACTTTAGGCTCTGAGTAAACCTAATTCTCAACATGCTATCCAAAAGCAAAGCAAAATGCTAGAGAAGCACAGAGAAGTGAGCGAAGCAAACAAAAAAAAGTTTAAAAGTAACCTGTAACTCAAACACCACCCTGATAACCCAAGCTGTTTTAGAAGTCATCAAAATCACTGTTTTAGAAAATATGCTTTTGGAAGGAAAAGTGTGAAAAGCTCTTTTGTCTGGGTAGCCTATGAAATCAGATCTTTAGAAAAATATACTGAACTAAGACTAAAATCCTATTTTTACCTTTACATTATATATGCAAATAACATATTTGCTCTAGAAACTGGAAACAATTTAAGAAATGGGTTTTCTAATTCTTCTTTGAGAAACATTACTTTGCCTTAACAATTCTACTTACAGAATCTATAAATTGGAGTGTTTCTGCAAATTCTAAGAGGTTCTTAACATTATCCAGAATGGTGCTCTGGTGGACGATCATGCACCTTGCTGGAGAGGCGCTTTCTTCAGGTAGGGAGCTAGGATCCACTGGCAGAGACGGGGTGGAGTGGTGTTCTCCCAAACAGGAAACAGGTGCACTGTCTCCCTGAGGTCTGCTGTGGTCGGCAATGGCGGTGCTGTGCCACCCGGGGTAGCTGCATGTGTGGTTCTGTGCCTAAGGAAGGGGGGTGTAGAAATAAAGAAAGAGCGGGCCAGAAGAAGGGAGAAGGAACTTAGCAATGATGTTGCACAAGGTATCAGATGCTGTTGGAGGAAAGATAAAAGTAGTTGCATCATCCAAAACTTAGGCCTATGAAACAGTTATCAAGATGTTTCCTTTGATCAATGCAAGACCCCACTTTTTAATGGTGCTATAGTTTGTCCCTATAGGGTTACCTTAATAGTTATCATTTTGTAAAAACATCTGATCATGGAATTCTATTACCAAGTACAATTCTCATATTAAATGCCTTAAAAATCCACTTTCATTGGATTTGCAAAAGGTCCATAAATACTTGCTGAGAGTTAAGAAGAGTCCTATTTGCATTCCAACCTACAAAAAGGTTAGAAGATTCAAATGTTAGACTTGCTTTATCTATACATATTCTCTTGATTTCTATCCCTTCCTAATGCTGCAGATTGCTCTGATGCAGTGAAGGGCTGCCAAAGCAACATGTTAGGAAAGCAGAAGAGCAAATTAACAGAAGTCTCCTTACAGCATGACCACGCAACAGGAGAAATTGCAAAACTTTAAGTTAAAAAGTGGTCGCGATGCATATAATCATTTTAGTACTTAACAAAAAAGAAATATACTCCTAAGAATACCTACTCTGTATCACTTCTCTTCTACTCTCTGCTGGTTAACTACAAATCCTACAAAGTACAAGCTGCTTTCTCTGTCTGCTGCCCATCACTAAAAGATGTCAGCGATCAGTAATGGCCTGCTCAGCTTTCATACATGCGCACAAAAGAACAGCTAATGTCATTTATGAAGAGGTTTTAGGTTTCTTCTTTACAAATATACTGAACATGCATCAAATCATGTTTGAAATGATAAAATTTGAAAATATAGGTTAAGCAAATAATAGAAAAACTGAAAAATCCAACCAACAGGGACCATATACATAGTTTTGTAAAAACAAACAAAAAAATTTGCAGATTTTCATTCACCTTATTTTTGCTATGATTTGAATTGATTACGGTCCTTCTGGAGAAAAAAAAAATCGATGATGACAATCACAAGTAGATACTGCGTTTCTATTGGAAATACACAATTTCCAGTTTATTCAACATACATTCTGACATCAACAGCATTTTAGTATAAGCAAGTTCTTGTGTTTAAACATTTTTTAAAAGATAGATATAGAGCCTTAGTTAGTCTACTATTTAGAATAGAAGAAGATACAGAAGAGCAATGGGGAAAAGCTGCTACCCCCGCCCCCATTCAAGAACACAATGACATCCTTACTGGTAGCGTCTGCTGCCCTTTCAGTTCATTCTCAGTTGACATTAGGAGCAACTCTAATTCCTTTATTCGCTTTTCTTTTTCAGGGTCTTCATCATTATAGTGTCTCTGAAATGACAAAGGGAAAAAAGACAAAAGTCTGGGTGCAAGTTGTAAAGAAAATGATTGTCGCCTCCAGTCACGGGGTACCACACACAACTCAAAGAGCCATCACCAACCAAATTTGGCTACTGCAGAAATCTTTGTGAATTTTATTTCAGACTCAAGAGAATGACGTGAAATCTGAGGCTGCAGTGGATGCTGACTGAAAGAGTTGTTTTGTTTTATAACCAGAGGATCAGAGAATTCCAGAGCCCTCTCTCCACTATTCCCTTTTCTTTTACTTCAGTTGACCAGGTAAAAATGTACATTTAGATGAAAGAAATAAAGGATTTCTTAAGAGTGGCACCTTGATCCGCAAAGGAGTGTCTTTAAAAACTGATCTTACCTGAATGGCTGCAGCAGCCGGCTGAGGGACATTGACTATATTTACATGTAACGCTACAGGATATGGAACGTGGCTTGAGACCTATACCCAGAGACAAAACAAAGACGGATCATTCCTGGTTACATACGCTTCAGGCGACTTGACTTCCTGAGGTTTTGTTCTGGGACTGAGAGGAAAAACATGCTCTACCGATTAAATTCATTAAATAATCATAATATCCCTTCTAATTAGAAATGTAGACAGGCCTTTAAAAATGGCTAAATAGCTAGAGCAGCACGGTGAAAGAAATCGAAAGTGCTTATCAATTCCAATGGGAAGTATTCCTTCGAGCAAAACGCCAATGGAAAATATCATTTAAAATACATTCATGAGTGTATGGAGAAAGTTTTAATGAGAAAAATTGATGGCACTAGCTGCTTGTAAATCAACATACTTTTCTTGGAATAATTATAAGTTTTAATAAAAGGCACAGAACCTCTTTCAATAATTCATTCACCTGAGACCTTTCTGAAAAGTCTGTAGTCAAATGCATGGAACAGACAGACAAGTGTGAAAACTATTTATGAATACGTTTTGCATAGAATTTGAATGTGAGCTCTGAATACTTGGGTAGGTTTCACCATTGATTATTGTTAGTCTTAAAATTAATGTTTCTTAATTTTTTTCTCTTTATTCTTTTCTACACATTAGGAATTCTTTCTTTC